TATGAATACATAATTTGTACACAAAATGTCAATAAATTAATACAGGATAGCATTTGTCAGTACAAAAAATGTATATATTCCTTTACCATCATCATCAATGTATACAACATACCTTCTTATTGTCTTCAATATAAGACCTAAGAAGATAACGGTCATACTTCTCTTTATCTTCGTCAGATGCTAAAAGATTAATCATATCTTGGCCAACAGAAGCACCACAAGTGGGATCAGGACATCTCAGCACCAAACATCCCGGACCATCATTAATTGATGTGCCAATATATCCTGGCATGTCAAAGAGAATAGAATAACGTGGTTTAACAAATTTACAAATTAAGGAAATAATATTGATGATGCATGCATCAGCATTATAACCAAATAAAATAAAAGACAACAGAGCAAGACATGATTTATTAACAATGTCAAGACAGAGATAGGTATCTGCGACCACAAAAGAACAGAAGGATGGCACACAGGTAATACCTGCCCAGCACAAATAGCAGTAAGGATGACCACAAGCAGCAGATTCAATCCTTGCCCGTGGATACGTCTCAAAACAGATGCCACAAGTAAGCTGACCAAAAGTAGGAGAAAATGTGAGATAATTCATGCCGTAAAGATTAAATGAAACCCAGGCAGCATATGACAAGAAAACTCAAAACTAGTTGACCTGTTTTACAACCCAAACAACCATGTCTCACCTCTCTAGCATTAGAATTCTGGAAAACTGGCTTATCCAACAAACCAACTGTTTTTCGTACTTGATCTTCATCAGCAAACCAAGCATCATGCACCTTACTAACACTCCTGCATCACCAAATCACTCTCCTTTAGTATATGAGTGAACAAGAAAAGAGATAAAACCTTAAATATCATGCGAGGCAGCATCAAACTATAAATATACACAAAACTGCAAGAGAAAATAAACTAATACAGGTCAAAAGATAACAAATTTACCAATTATAGTGACGAAGTAGGATGCTCGCCGAAACACGCGGTATCGAAAGAACTGTCGCTACTCTAGTGATGTCATCTTCCTGCCTTTGCCGGATGTCCAACTCCCTCAGTATGGTAAAATTTTGCTGAAATCCAAACAGGGATCCGTCAATCGGATAGGGATAACATGATTGCAGAAACAAACAGAGACACGAGTAACCCGATATGTCTTGAATTAGAAACTGGAGCACTCGTGATCATATCCATAAGACAACCAAGAGATTCTATCTTATAACTCATTCGGTATGCTTCATTTCCAATAAAACAGCGGTGAATGGAAAGAAAATCGTCTGCACAGTTTAAACCAGCATCATCTCGATACGTCAACCTATTCCAGTAATTGATTAATACTATTAATCATCGAGATCAATTGAGCACAAATTCCTGCTCCACCAACCACACTCACTGCTGTAGCTCCAGAATTTATTAAAACCAAACGCGTATCGTAAAGCTTGAACAGTATCCCTTTCATCTCCATAATCCACGCTTGAGTACAGCAAATTCTCCGGCGCAAGAGTTCAGTTACCAGCCTCCTTGACTCGAATCACTTAATTCTTCACAGTCGGTAAAAGCAAGTGATAACAACATTCGCAGCTCGAAAACAGCAAGAATCAGAAGAGTGTGAGTAGAAGAATAGACCTACCTCGGGGCGACGAGACTCAATCCGGTCAGAATCATCGGCGTCCTCGAAGTAGTCGTCGGCGACGTCATCGTAGTCACTGTAGTAATCCATGGGAGCGTCCTCGGTATCGCCACTGTAGAAATCGTCATCGACGGACTCGACATCGTTTGCGTCGTGCATATCGTCCTCGGAATCCATAGAAACCCTAGCGGAAGGGTGTAGGGTTTGGAATTTATGAACGATCGAAGGGGTTTGGTTAGCGGATAGAGAAAATCTAGGGCACAATAAGGATTAGAGAGGATGGTGGAGAAGGAAGAAAAAGTGCCTAGCTTTATGGTTACTTCCTTCGATCCTTTCCCCTCCTAACTAACGAGAGGTTTGTAAATTGTTAGAATATTAATAATATATATATATATATATATATATATATATATATATATATATATATATAATATTAAATTTAAATATTGAAGATGGGGTTTAATGGGCTAAAATGGAAGTGCATGCGATGACAACGATTTAAGAAGATCAACTAGATTTGGTATACCTAATTTCATGGCAGAATAATTGACTTCCAGAGTAAACTCACTGTAATTGTGGGAAAGAAAGTATAATTACTCATATAGAAACAAATATTTATTTAGGGTCAGTAAAATTAAAATATTTTTATTAACTTTTATATAATATTAATTATGTTCTAATACATATACGAGTTTCACATTATTTAAAAATTTAAAAATAATTTTTATATATATCTTTTTCTTTAATTAAATGAATAATATGTTAATATAAGAATTAATTTTAAGATATTATTATAATACAAAATCGAGATATTTATTTTTAAATGAAATGTCACATTACTGTATATATTAATATATGTAATTTTAAATGGAGAAAAATTATAAGAATTAAAGATATATATAGTTTTAAAAAGTTTTCATTTTCAATAAATTTTTAATAGTATTTAGATTAATTATTTTTCGATTAAAAATGCTTAATCACTTAAATGATTTATTAACGTAAAATTCATTAATTTTGTAACAAGATTATATTGTATGCGATTCATTTTTTATATTAAAATTAAAATTTATACTTTAAAATAAATATATTAATAAGTTAATAGTCATTTTTTATATTAAAATTAAAATTTATACTTTAAAATAAATATATTAATAAGTTAATAGTTATTTCATATTTATATATATATATATATATATATATATATATATATATATATGAAAAAACAAAAGTCATTCTATTTAAAACCGTTTTTTTAAATTGAATTAGTTGGAATAGAATTGAACTTTTCTCTCTATTTTTGTATAGTTTTAAAAATATTTTTCAATATTTTTAATTTTTAGAAATTAAAAAAAAATAAAACATTTTTAATAATAGTTTAATTTAAAAAAACTAAATAATTTAAAATAATCGAATATATTCCTTTTATTTTTTTTGTTTTGTTTTTATTGATCAATAAATAATTACTCAAATTTTATTATAATTAAATTATCATTCGTTAACATTTTTTATTAAAATTATTTTATTTCGTTTTAAATAAATTTAAAAAGATTATAAAAAATACTTTCTAAAACTATTTTTAAAAGTAAATCAAAAAAACTTACTAAAAGTTGGTGGAAAATTATTTGAAACTATGAAAATAAAATTATTAAAAGTTAAGATCCTATTCAAACTTTTGGTGCAGTGAAATGGTTTAGGTTTTGTAATATTTTCTCTATTAATTTTGTTCCAATTTGATAAGTCATGAATTAATAAAATGAGATATTTATTTATTTAAATATTACAATTTTATCATAATTTGTGTTATTATGATTAATTTTGATTATTTTGATAAATCAAAATCATTAATAGATTTTTATATTGGAACCAAAGTGAGATAAGAGTAGATTTGGTGGCATCTAAAAGGCAAACATGCGTGTTAAGTTAATTACACTTTGTGTGTCATATTAATACCCTTTAGCATTCTTAATCATAACATTCATTATAAAAACTTGTCCATGTATCCTTTTTTTCTTACTAGACATTCTGATTTTTCACACTAATTAATGTTTTTGCCATCATGTTTTCTTATGTTGTCTGAATTGAATGAGGTAACTTCTATTGAATTTCAAATTTCCGATTAGTTTGGGAACATGTGAGGGAGATTAGACACAAATACAAATGAATGATTTCTAAACACCTACGATTGCGTTAATTTTCAATGTTTCATATACATTTGTTTTTATTATACTAAAAAAAAAAAAAGTTTTCTGCTTGACTATTTGAATGTAGTTATGGTAAAAAGTTTTTTTATTTTTATCATTTACAATTTTGACAATTAAAAAAGAATGTTCCTTTATTCTGAAAAAGATTTTATCTTTCTTGTTTATGAAAAATAATATTTTTTAATACATGTTTCGTACACTTTATTTTTAATGGAAGTTTTAAAAGCGAAGTAAAGATTTAAAAAAAAAAAGTGTATAAATACAGAATCAAATATTTATTTATTATATTAAATACAATACATTATTATGAATGATCATGGTATCACAGAAAAATATATGGTATCCCTTAAATACATAATCGTGGTTTTTATTTATTTATTTATTTGTTTATTTTACAAAAACATTTCAATCGAAAAATGTTCATTTATGCTACTAGGGGTGTAATTTAAAAAAAATAAAAAAATACAAAAAAGTTAACACGGGTATAAATTTAAAATACAAAACACAATTATATTATTATTATTATTATCTTAACAAATAATACAACGTTTTTTTTTCAATTCTATATTTGTTGTTATTTTAAAAAAATGTAACACAATAGAAACAAGTTTGTATGATGTTGATTTTAATTAATGAAAGCATTTTTATTTTCAAAAGTAATTTTAACGAAGTATTGAGAAGATATTTTTGTCTTTTGTGGTTGAGTTGAAACAAGAACTGGGGTGTCAATAGCAGGGTCCAAGAGTTGATTTTGAACTGGGCTTTTTTTGATTCAACCACAAAAACAAACAAAAAACTTTGTACCAACTCAAAAAATTTTGTGAATAACATTCACTTTGATTTATTATTTTTTATGTATTTTTTTTCACATATGGGCAAGGAAAATAATAAAGAAAAAACTACAAATTCAGATGAAAAATAATCATAAAACTAATTAAAGAAAACTGTAAAAATAATGAATTATTATTATTATTTTTACTCTCTAATGTTTTGTTTTAGAAACAAGAGAGTGTAAGGAAGAAAAAAATATTAAATTGAGAAAAAATGGTGAATGAAAACAGTTAGTAAATAATAATAAAAAAAAATAAAAAGTGTAATGTAAATAATTAGAAGAGTATGCACAAGCACTATCAGAACCCTACTTACATCACATTCTAACCATGATGTCCCTAATAGCAAGAGAATGTTTCATTTTCCAATTACCTAGGTTTCAGTTATCGTTGTTGTTGGAACTTGGAAGACACCACATATTCCATGCAATCTGGACTTCGAACTTCGACATGCACAAAACTAGGTTTCACAAAGTGCACAACACACGTAAGCATCAAACGCAAACACTAACGGTTATTTTATGTTTGTAGATGCTCACTGTCAAGGTTTAATTTTTTTTTTTCAGAAACACTTTGGTTTGAAATTACGAAAGAGACCCTGAAGATTTAATTTTGTTCACGCTTTACACTGAGGGACATAAGCATGAATAAATACACACAAGTGTACAGAGTCACAGACTCATGAACCAATAGACAAATATCTATAAACGCTTCCTTCTTTCTCTCTTTCTATCCCTACTTCGCCTCTGTTTCATTTGGCCCCTTGTTTCTCAGAAGCCACACTCTTCAAACTTGGAACTCCACAAAACCCAATCCTCTTTTTACACATTCAATCTCTCTCAATGTTGCATCATCTGGGTATTGCTTATTTCTTCTTTATTCATCTTCTTCAGATCATTCTGCCTTTTTTTCTTTATGCCCTTTTGAAATTTACGTTTTTTCAGTTTTTCACTATTCGAATCTACTTGCTTCCCAATAATAATATTAATATTAACTCTCTGAGTGTTGCTTGTTCTAGAGTTCTTCTTTAGAGGGCTTTAGCAGATTCCATTCCTTGAGTCTCAGACTATGCCAATCCTTTTATCCTCATTTCTGGTTAGTATTTTCTTTTATTTCTTTCTATTTTTGTTCTTGTTGTTGGTGGTGGTGTTATTCTGTTGGTTCAATTTGGATTAGGATTAGAATTTGCGTTTCTTTTGCCCGGTTTTGTTCTCGGTGCTTTTCGATTTATGGGTTTCGAGAGTTTAAGGTGACTCTGTTGATTTCAATTGTTATCAGTTCTCTCCAATTACAAGCTTGTTACTTTCATGGTTCAGTATGAATCTTCTGGAGATTCTTTGCGTTTAGGATTAGAGGCTTATTTTGTTCATTATTTCTCAATTGATTCACAATTTCACTGAACTGTCAATTGCTCTAAGTGTTCTTGTATGCCCTAATTTATTCTTTTACGAATTTTGGGAAGATGCATCTCTTTTACCTAGCTTTCAGCTTTTTAAAGACTGAGCTGAAGTTTTTTTCCATTCGGGTAACAATTTAAGTATTTTGTAATTGTGTTGTCTCTCTGAAAAATCAAGCCCTGGAAGTACAGAGGGAATAAAAGTGTGTCATGTCCAAGCACAATTGTGCAGGAAAAAGTCTTTTTCTTTCTATATAAAATAGAACGGGGCTCTGTATTTCTTTTTGCATCTTCTCTTGCCCTGTAACAAATCATAGCTATGATATTATTTCAGATCAGATTTTCATTTTGTAATGCTCTAGAGGAGGTTTTTAAGCTTGAGTTTGTGCAACCCTTTTTAAGTCATGGCTTTACCTCTCCATCTCTACTAGTGAAGCCACTTCAACCTGTCTAAATTTAAGCAGATTAAGAATCCTATTATTACATCTCTATTGAACAGAGTAGTATGTGCCATTGTGCCCTTTTCTTCCAGGTATTATCCTTGTTTGCATGAGCACGTCTCTTCTGAGGATTTTAAGACCATGGGTAGAGGTAGAGGAAAGGGTAAAAAACTGACTGTTATCAATCATGAGGATCCTGCAAGTGGGGAGGATGAAAAAGTTCCCATGCAAAAGAGAAGAGGGAGACCACAGAAACCGCTAAAGGATGAGTTTGATGAAGAAGAAGAAATAGAGAAAATAGAAGATGACAGTGACAACAATGTGAAGAATGGAATCTCTAACAAAGAGATGAAAAGTCCCACTGCAACTGAAAATGGAAGGAAAAGGAAGAGAAGCTCACAGGTGAAAGAGAAATTAGACTCAGTTGAGGAAGAAAATGGCATTGGCAATGGATCAAGCAACACTGCTGAGTTGACAAAGTCGAATGGTTTTAGGCATAATGGAAGCAGGCGCAAAAGCACACCTCGTCGAGCTGCTGAAGCAGGTGTGCAATGCAAGTAACCATAATCAAAGTTGTGCAATAGCTTTCTTCCTTTTCATATTACCAGTTACAAGATCAGATAGGAAGTGAGGCCCAGTATCATTTATTTTATTTACTTGTTTTGTTCCTTTGCTCTCATTTTTAGTTTCTTTTTTCCTGGGTGAGTCTGATTTTGAGGGGTTCCATTTGGTGATACCCTATCATTAATTCCTTTCTTTCTTTATTTCAATCATGAATTTCAGAGTTTAAAATGCTGCCTGTTGTCTACCTTGACTTTCAATTTGATTTTCTATTCTCCCTCTTCTTTCATCACCAGAGCTCATCATCAGATTCCTTTGCTTATGATTATATGTTTGGTGACTGTGAATGAATTGCTGAGATAAAAGCAAAATCCAAATGACATTCATGAGTCTTAGTTTCTGAACTTAAAGTCATCAAAATGAAGCAAATGGACTTGGTAATGGAACCTGTTAACAAGTTAACAAAAGAAATTGGTGCAGAAAAAAAGTTCATTATATGCTAAAACTGGTGAACTTTAGAAGTACCTGCAAATGCTGTTTCTCTAATATTGGAACATTTTATGGAAGGGGATTTAAAACACCAAATTATTTTTTTACTATGAATTTTAAGATAATCATTGTCATCTTATTAAAAACAATCTAATTTTATTGAAATTATAATTTTTTTTTTTTGAAATAAGACATTTATTTTTGCACTGTTTTAATCGAAATTTGAAATGAATAGTCAGATTCCCCTCTCATTCAATAATTTTGGTGACATGCCTCACTCCATCAACACAACTAAATTTTGTGGAAACCATATTTTGGAAATAGAGACCACTAATCATTCTATCGTTTTCTTGAAAGAAAAAAATATTAAATGCAATAAATATTGCATCCGTATTTGCATGTGAAATCAACACACCTCACCATGTCATGGCTATATTGATGTAACTAATTCATCTGGCTACTTAAAATAAATAAATAAAATATATTAAAGAAAATCTTAGTAACTTATTTGTTTGATGTTTTTAAAATAGTTTTCAAATTTTAATTTTTAATTCAAATAGTTAAAAAAATACCAAAATTGATGAATATTAAACATTTTTATTAATAATTTTACTAAATCACTCTCTTCATCATCATAAAATTATCAAAAATCATTTTTTTAACTTTATCATTACTTTTTAGGGTAATCTATATCATTATCTGTAGAGTTATCAAATAATCTTTCTTCTAATTTATTTTCGAAAATAGTTTTTAAATTAATCTCTAAAATTCTTTTTAAAAAGTAAATCAAACAAGCCTTTAGTTTTTCTCCAATTGTATCAGTTTTTTCCCTTTTTTTCTCTCTCTACAATTTAAATCCTCATATTTTAGAAAATCCATAACTTTCCTCTAATTGTCCATATATATACATTATTTTTTATTTAATTAAATTAGTTCATGATAATAGTTAATGAATATGTTAAATTGATAAAAGTAAAAAAATAGACACATGTAAAATTGAAAACTAAACTAAAGTTAGGATTTTTTTTTTTAAATTGGGGATAAAAAAAAATCATGTTAAGAATGAAAGAAGCTAAAAATTGTAATTGGGGAAAAGAACTGTCTAACCCGAGCTAGTAGAAACTTTTATTGGGCCAACAAACAAATATGAATGTTCAATAAATTTAAATTTAAATAACTTCGAATATTTTAAAACATATAATAAAAGTCCACCTTTTGAGTGAGAAATCAGATAAATTAAATTTAAATATAACTTAAAATTAAATCATATATATTTTCTTGCATGTTGAATTCATATATTTATTTTTTATCCCAAATTATTCACTGGAAAACACTCCTAAGATGCAGAAAATTAGAAGTGTTGACGTGCAGTTTGAGATTGAAAGGCTGAGATTGATTCAGAATCACTTAAAAACTATTTTTAGTCACAACTTGAAACATAAAACCATGTTCTTCATCTCTATAAAAGGGGCATTTTTACACATCATAGTAAGTCTCTGCATTAAGCACAACATCAAGGTTCATTTCATTACTGAACATGGCATGCAGCCACTTTTTTCTTCTTCTCTTCTTCACTCTTCTCATCACATTACCATCCATTACTTTCGCTCTTCTTCCATCTATTGTCGATGTTTCTTCACTCAATCGAAGTACTTTTCCGACAGGCTTTGTCTTTGGAACAGCAACCGCATCGTACCAGGTATTCAGATTTTGTTTGTTGTATCTGTTCTGAACATTAACTGGAGTCAGATTTCGAACTGCATCTCATGCAGTTCAATTAAACATCAACATCAGATCAAAGATCCTACAGTATGCAGTTTCGCCAGAAACCTAGTAAAATGAGAAAACCTTTGAGATTTTAACCTAAAACTTGACATGATGTTGTTATGTTCGTGACATGTGACAAAAGTACGAGGGTGCGGCAAAAGAAGGTGGAAGAGGACCAAGTATATGGGATGAGTTCACCCACCATTATCCAGGTTTTTTTTTTTTTTTCTTTGGAATGTTTCTATCTCTAATATGATAGTAGAAGGGAAAAACTTTATTTGATTTTATTTGTGCTTAATTATTTCTAGAAATTATATCATATTATATTTTTTAAAACGTAAGAAAAAAACAAACTGATAATTAATAGTCTGATTATAAATATGTTAATTACTTGCAGAGAAAATACGTGATAGAAGCAATGGAGATGTAGCAGTTGACCAATATCATCGCTACAAGGTACAATCCAAATTCTTCATGATGATGAAAAAAAATCTAAATATATATTTTCCTTCAAAAAGAATTAATTATTTTTTGGATCTAATTTTTCATTCATAAAACAGGAAGATATTAAGATAATGAGGAATATGAATCTGGATGCATACAGATTCTCCATCTCTTGGTCAAGAATTCTCCCAAGTGAGATAAAAATTCATGAACAATTATTTTTTTCTATTTATTTTATTCCATGTTAATATGTTTTTTTAAATTATTAATAGAAGGAAAGCTCAGTGGAGGTATAAACCAAGAAGGAATCAGATATTACAACAACCTCATCGATCATTTGCTAGCCAACGGTCAAGAATAATTCATGCTTGATTTTTCTTAATTAAACATTAAGTAGGTGACAATAATTATGTATGAATTGTTAATGTTGCAGGTCTACAACCATATGTGACACTTTTCCACTGGGATCTTCCCCAAGCTTTGGAAGAAGAGTATGGTGGTTTCTTAAGTCCTCGTATTGTGTAAGTAATACAAGTTCTAACGTTGTCATAGTTGCAAAAACATGATCATGTCATGTTTTTAATGAAAATTCATAGATTACGAAAAGAATGGTTGAAATAAGATGATGTATGGTTGATTTACTTACAGAAAAGATTTTGAAGAGTACGCGAATCTATGTTTCAAAGAATTTGGAGATAGGGTGAAACATTGGATTACTTTAAATGAGCCATGGTCTTACAGTAGAGGTGGTTATGCAATTGGGATCTATGCACCAGGTCGATGTTCTGAATGGTTAAACCTAAACTGCACTGGTGGTGATTCAGGAACAGAACCCTATTTAGCTTCACATTATCAACTACTTGCTCATGCAGCATCTGTTCAAGTCTACAAGAAAAAATATCAGGTTTTTCTTTAGCCTTGTTAGTTGCTGCCAGGGTTCAAGTATTTTACTTTGGCATAACTCTTTCACTTAACATTCCAAACTCTTTACTCAGAAATCTCAAAAAGGAATCATAGGCATAACACTAGTGTGTTTCTGGTATACGCCATATTCAAATCACAAATTGGATAAAGATGCTGCTAATCGAGCACTTGACTTCATGTATGGATGGTAAGTTCTTCACTGGATTCAAATATTATGACTTGTAACTCAAAAAATCATCATGATTATCTTACTGAGAATGATTAATTACAGGTTCATGGAACCATTGACATCAGGAAAATATCCGGAGAGCATGATTTCCCTGGTTGGTGAACGACTGCCAAAGTTCTCTGAAGAAGAAGCAAGACTTGTGACTGGTTCATATGATTTTATTGGACTAAACTATTACACCACTGCCTATGCTGCCAATGCACCCAAAACCAGACCTAATTATGATTCTGATTCCAATGTCAAAACTTCATGTAAGATACCTTCTTCCATCGTATATATGTTCATCTTAATTTTTTAAATAAATTATATATTTATTTAATCTTAAGCGAAAATTTAACGTAATACTATTATTTTTTTAGTATCATATTATTTTATAACAATTTCATTTTTTTTGGGATAGATTCACTCAATGGAATTCCAATAGGTCCATCGGTATGTATACCATCATATCAATTTTTTACTTAATAATAATATTATTATTATTATTATTATTATTATTTATTTTTATATAACTTGATAATTATACTTGCAGACAGCTTCTGGTTGGTTATATGTTTATCCCAAAGGAATTAGAGAATTGTTGAACTATACCAAAACAAAGTACAACAATCCTTGGATTTTCATAACTGAAAACGGTAAGTATGTTAAACTTAACATCATTCTATTATCGTTGTAACTGAAAACAAATTCCTAATTAGTTTTATATTACAATCTTAACATGGTATCATTGTTAAAGTTTATTTTTTTTAATTGTTGTTCCGGATTAGAAGTTGTCGATGTTTGTTAGGGTATTAATTCTCCTAATTACTAATTAGTTTTACGTGAGAAATTTAACAATATTTTAAATTTAAATAAAATTATTAAAAATATATAATTATAATTTGTCTGAAATATGTGGGTTATAATTTGTAGGCATGAGCGAGATTATTGATCCAACACTATCTCTTCAAGAAGCTCTTCTCGATACATACAGAATTGACTATTATTATCGTCATCTCTATTATTTAAACTTGGCAATTAGGTAATGAATGGTTTATTTATTTGTTATTATTATATTTAAAGAGTATTTTGTTTGAAAAAATAATTTGAATTAATTTTGTTGACTTTATTTAGAAGGGATGGCGTAAAGGTGAAGGGATATTTTGCATGGTCATTCTGTGATAACTTCGAATGGGCTGATGGTTATGTAATACGGTTTGGAATAAACTTTGTGGATTACAAAAATGGTTTGAAGCGATATCAGAAGCTTTCTGCAAAATGGTTCAAGAACTTTCTGCAAAACTTCTAGACTTTGGAACATTCTCCTAGATTTTAGAAAAAACCTCATTATGTAACTTAGTTTTTTTAATTATTTTATTTATAGATTCTTATTTCTAGGTAGGATTTTCTGTTTCAATTAAGGTTTTAATTTAGTTTTAGAATTTTAAATAAATTATAATGAAATCTTAGAAATAATTATTATTCATTTCAAATAAGTTTCTATATATTAATTTATTCAAACAAATTTTAGTTCATTAATATATATAAAATATAAATTACTTCCATCCCTTTCTTCTTGTTCTTTAATTTACAAGATTGGGCCTGTAACTTTGATCGTGGTAGTTTAACTTTTCTTAGCTTAAAATGCTTCATTTCTTCTTCTTCTTCTTGATTTTGGTGCCTCTTGTTTTGGACTCAAAATAAAGCAAATTATTTTTGCCAAAGTTATAATAGAAATTGAAATAGAAAACATATACAAATTTGGGTACTGAGACAAAGATGTATGCAATCAATCACTTATGAATGTATTCATTTATTTATGGTAATTAAATTTATGTTTAATTAGAATGATAATTTTTAACTTGAAATGGGGATTAATGCCAAAACATATTTGTTACTTGTCCCCATTGAACACTAAATGGATGAATATATATATAAAAAAAGAAATTGGATTATCAAGTTACATATTTTGTAATTAATATCATTGGATTATAAATTGGGTAGCAATTAGGTACGTTTATTTAAATTGTTTAATTGCGATCAATTGCCTTAGTTGCCTTCAAGTTAAATAAACTCATTTTCTGTTGTTTCATTAAGATGCTTTAACCTTTAAAAAGAAAAAAAGAAAGAAAAAAGGCATGTCCCATTAATGATAAGAATTTGAACTTTGTGGTATATCTTGCTTATAAGAGTTTTCCTCCACTACATTTTCTTACTTATCTCAATTGAATTATTATGAGATGATAATGATAAAAGTATACAGGGAGAGTTATTTAAAAAAAGATTAAAAATAAAATATATTATTTTAATATAGATTTTATCAAAGACAACAATTTATACAAGTATTTTAATTTATTTTAAACTATTCTAGTTATAAAACATTCATTAAAAACAATATATAATATATTTCATTAAAAACTATTATCTTAAGGTTGTTTTTGCAGGATTTAAACTTCATTAGATGCGATTTGTGATCGACCAATCGATGTGAGATTACTACTAAAAATACATTAAAAATATTATGATAGTTGAATAACATTAGCGGCAAATCGGGAACACGACAATTTAATAAAAAATAGAAACCTTGGTGTCTTTTTTTGCTTGTATCTTTGTCACGAGGACAATGAAAAAGACAAGAGAAACAGAATCATGTTTGAAAATTATACACAAATGGTTTTCAAACCCGGCCATGCCTGCAGTCGAAGTTAGAATCCACAATATTAAAAAATGATTTTAGTTATTTACGAGAAAAAGCTTATAAATTTGTGCATCAAGCAGAGTCCTATCATCATTGATCTTCACCTCACATGGCATACGAGGCGCTTTTTGTCTTGGCCACTGTTGTTGTTAGAACATTAGCTTCAATCGAAGCACCTGTTCCTGTTCTTGCACCTCTTCTTGATGTTTCCCCGCTCAATCGAAGCACTTTTCCACCAGGATTCCTCTTTGGAACAGCTTCTGCGGCGTACCAGGTATACACACCACATCCACATGATGTTCTTCAGTCGTTGGTTTGAACATTTTTCTGCTGCTAGCTTTAAGAGTCTTCTATCACTTACAAATTAACTTTTTAAGGTTAATTTATCTGAACTTCTTGTTATTAATATTTTTGCTGAATGTATAGTATGAAGGTGCAGCAAAAGAAGGTGGCAGAGGTGCCAGTGTATGGGATATCTTCACCCATAAATATCCAGGTTTTTTCTTTTTCATTTTTCATTCATATATATATATATATATATATATATATATATATATATATATATATATATTGATTATTAATCTAATAATAATATCTGCAGATATGATTCAGGATAGAAGCAATGGAGATGTTGCAGTTGATCAATATCATCGTTACAAGGTAATATCCAAGTTTGATATATGATATCAGAAACAATCTAAAAATATATCAGAATCTGATATCTGAAAATTTAATATATTTTGCAGATTACAATTTTTATATATTTAATTAATTTTACCATTTTTTTAACTTATTGTACATGTATAAATATTACAGGAAGACGTTGAAATCATGAAATATATGAATTTGGATGCATACAGATTCTCCATTTCTTGGTCTAGAATTCTCCCAAGTAAGTTAATTAATGATGATTTACTCATATATTTCAATTGTTTAAGTGATGTTTAGTGTTAACCATTCAAAATTTTCTCATGAATTATTCATAGAAGGAAAGCTTAGTGGAGGTATAAACCAAGAAGGAGTCAAATATTATAACAACCTCATCAATGAATTACTAGATAAAGGTTTATTTTATTTTCTTGATACTGGTTTAACCAAAGTTTGTATTTTAATATTCTTCAAAAAGTGATAACAATCATGTATATTGCAGGCCTAGAACCATTTATCACTCTTTTTCATTGGGATCTTCCTCAGGTTTTAGAAGATGAGTATGGTGGTTTCCTAAGTCCTCACATTATGTAAGTGATACAAATTTGGATTATTTATTTGATACGAGTTAAATCTATATATGCTTGAAATCATTCTTAACTCAAAATCTTAACTAATTGGTCTTTCTTTCTTGTACGATATAATTTTTCAGAAAAGATTTTGAAGATTATGCAGAACTTTGCTTTAAAGAGTTTGGAGACAGAGTAAAGTATTGGATTACTTTAAATGAACCATGGAGTTACAGTACATTTGGGTATGCATATGGGACGGCGCCACCAAAACGATGTTCAAAATGGTTGAATCCAAAATGCATTCATGGTGACTCCGGAAAAGAACCCTATTTAGTTTCACATAACCTACTTCTTGCTCATGCAACCGCTGTCAAAGTCTACAGGACCAAGTACCAGGTTCATTACATCTTTCAAATAACTTATTAAACCTCAACGTTAATTAAGCACTTTAGTTGTCTCTATTAATTACTTGACCCAAAAAACACTTTACACAGGAATCTCAAAAAGGAGTGATAGGGATAACCCTTGTGAGCAACTGGTTCGAGCCACTTTCAGAAACCAAGTTAGATCAAAGTGCTTCTCAGCGAGCACTTGATTTCATGTTTGGATGGTGAGTAATAAGTAAGTGCATAATAATAACGTTATATGATTTTGCATTGTCCTATGTACTTGTAACATCACAAACATGTTTTGATTTTGTACAACCATGGTACGTAGGTTTATGGAACCATTGACATCAGGAAAATATCCAGAAAGCATGCGTTCTCTTGTTGGAAAACGATTGCCAAAGTTCTCGAAACAACAAGTCAAACTTCTGCATGGTTCATTTGATTTTGTTGGACTAAATTATTACACCTCTAACTACGTTTTCAATGCACCCAAACAAGGCACCGTCAAACCTAATTACGCTACAGATTCTAATGCCAATCTTACAAGTAATGATTTTATTTATTTATTTTAATTTAATCATCAAAATAATAATAATAATAAAAAATTCTATCTCTCACTTTTTTTTAGCTGAACGCAACGGGATTCCAATAGGTCCAGTGGTACGTATACACGACCAAGTCAAACTATGGCTACATTTTATTATTTTATTTTATTATATAGTTTATTTCATTTGTATTAATTGAATTTTGTAGGCTGCTTCAAGCTGGTTATATGTTTATCCCCGAGGAATTAGAGAATTATTGTTGTATACCAAAGAAAAGTACAACAATCCATTAATTTACATCACTGAAAATGGTAATTACATCAAATATAATATTTTATTTATTATTATAAAGTTTTTGTAAAATAATTTATAAATTATGAAGAATATTTACTTGATCATTAAATGGTATTTTAACATGCATTTTTCCCCATTCTAATTCAGGTGTTGACGAATTTAATGATCCTACACTATCACTTGAAGAATCTCTTGTTGATACTTTTAGAATTGATTATCATTATAGGCATTTGTTTTATCTTCACTCAGCAATCAGGTAATTTTTTTTTTCAAAATATTTGAAATTTATTTTATTTCTTATTAATCTAATTTAAATTTTATTTTTTCACTTTTAAGGGATGGTGTAAACATAAAAGGATATTTTGCATGGTCATTGCTGGACAACTTTGAATGGAACAACGGTTATACAGTGCGATTTGGAATAAATTTTGTAGATTACAAACATGGCTTGAAGCGATATTCAAAGCTCTCTGCAAAATGGTTCAAGAATTTTCTCAGAAAATATTAGATTTATATGTTCCTTAAAGTTCCAATAAATAGTGTAATATGAATTAAAAAAAATAATTATATTTTCCTAAATGACAGGAATGTCCCGCCATATATACTGACATAATAATATGATTATGATTAATTTTTATATTAATACGATGATAAGAGATGATTATATATATAAATTATTTTTATTTTATTTCTTAAACGATATCAATTATCAGAAAATAAAATTATAATGACTAATTTTTTTAAAATAAATAAAATACGAAACTTAAAATTATCTTTTATGTTGAAAAATATAATAGAGTAAGGTAACGTGATTTAACTTGATCGAATGAAAAGAATTTTCAAATCTAATTATAGTTTTTTTAAAATTAATCAAACTCATTCAACAAGTTTTTCAACCTTATATATATCATAATTTTTTTATTTCATTAATATTTTGAATGATTTTTTTTTCAAATATTTAGTAATTATAACAAATACTTATATTAAGTATAATTAGAATATTTTGTTCAGTTTTTATACTTTATTGATTGTTTTATTAAATTTTTAACTATTACCATTATATGAATCATTCCATTAAATGTATGCATAAATTTAAGTGCCATTTAAAATTTATTAGGAGAATACTTTGCCAAAGTAGTATAAATATGTATTAGTAATAATCTTTCATGAAATTAAACTTTTTTATAATATACATCATTTAATTTATGTGACACAAAATTAATTATTTTTTAAACTTGAGATAAAATATTTAATAGAACGAAAATATTATGTGAAAATCATTTTAATTATATTAAATATAAATCTTTATCTTCTATGGAATACATGTTTTATAAGTTAATCTTTATTATTTTCTATTTATTGAAACCATAATTATTTTAAATTAGACTTAAAGGTATTTAATTTTAACTTTTGGAATAGAATTTATAAACTAATAAGTTGTTTTATAATGGGGGAGAATTAATCTTATAAATAATATATTTTAAACAAAAATTACTTAGAACCTGTGAATTAATTTTGTAAATAATAATAATAAAAAATTATATTTATTTTTTTAACTAAATATTTTTATTATTGATATATAAAATTCCATAATGAAAATAAATTTGTTTGATCTAATATAATTATTTTAGTCTGTTATTTTTTAATGCTTGATTTCATTTTTTTTTTCATTTTCTTTCTGTTGTTACCCCATTTTATTCATTTAATTAAAAATACTATATTAAAATTTGATAAAAATAAATTTTTATTATTTATAAAAAAATATTTAAATTAAAAAAGTAATAATTTATTTTATTATATTTTAAAAAAATATTATAAATATTATTACTATGTTATAATTATTAATAAAAAAATAAATATTTATTATAACGTACAAATTTTAATAAATTAATTTTTTAAATAATTAATTTATTATGATAAAATTATTTATTGTCATCATAAATATAATTATTTATTATTATAATTAATAAAATTATTTATTATTATCATAATTTTAAATAATTAATTGATATTTTTTTAGTTTTAAGGTTGATTTAAAAAGTTATTTTAACATGTTTTTATTAAATTCTAATATAATAGTTTTAACTGAAAAAATAAATAGAAGATGATAAAAAAAATAAAATAAGAGACATGATATACAGAAAATAGTAAAATAAAAACTACGTAAAATATTAAACTGAATAAATAAATTAATACAAGTTTTATCAACATATTTTTTATTTAAATAATATTTGAATAAATTCTAATAATGTAAAAATGTTTATTTAAACCTATGCATCATTACATAAAGATGTGTTTTTTTTCTAATTTATTTATTGATAAAAGTCATATTATTCATTATCAAATAAAAATAATTAGATATGACGAGAAAAATATAAACAAATATATGAAAATAATATAAATAATAAAAGTAAAATATATAAAAATCAGAATTCAGAAAGTGATGAATAGAAAAATAATGTCTGATACAAAGTAAAAAAAAAAACTAATTATAATATTATAAAATAAAGAATAAATGAAATAATTATTTTTAAATTAATAATATAAAAAAAATTAGGCATATTCAATTTCAAATTTCAATATGAGTGAAATAATCGTAGTTGTTGTTAGAAAATGTATTCAATATGCACAAACAGATGAACATTTTCGTTGGCGGGAATTTGCGATGAATCTTACAGACGAAATACAGTGAAGATGCAGATTACAGACAGTATAATCTACCAACTATCACGGATCTTGACCGTCGAAATACCAGAACTCAGAGATTAAAAAATATCGACGGTCGATCACGAGATTCGGTTTGGATACTGGTCATGGCAGCATGATCTGCAATGCGAACGACAGCACTAGATCCTACAATTTGTTCAGCTTAGAACCCTAGCTCTGGCTGGGTGTTGGAGTTGGGTTCATTGCCTCACTCACTCATTCTCAGCTTCTGCTTCTAAATCTGGACTCGGGGACTCGGTGGAAATCAAGATCCACCGCTATTAGGTGAAATTTCCATGGATGAAATTAGAAATGAAAGCCCAACCGAAGCTAAGAAAACCAAGTCAAAGACCCCTCGAAAACCGAAAGAAACTCTTCTGAAGCAGAGTCTCTCTCGCTCTCTTCCCATGTTGCAATATCTGCTTAATTTTATTGCCATATTAACTGATTGTTTCTTTTGTTAATTTGTAGAATCTCCGGCCGAATTCTTCGCAGAAAACAAGAACATTGCAGGATTTGATAACGTATGCATAATTGTGCAATTATGTGTTTGATTTGTTTTATGTATGCATCTTTTATGATATTCCTTTTGTATATATGTTTTCTCTGAAATTATGTGGATTTAACTACAGCCTGGAAAATCTCTTTATACTACTGTTAGAGAGCTTGTGGAGAACTCACTTGACTCGGCGGAGTCCATTTCCGAGCTTCCGGTTGTTGAAATTACCATGTAAGTGTGTAAGTAAAGTATGATGAATGATGAACAATGAACTGAGCTTACACATGTTTTTCTCTTGAAGTTTATCTGTAAATGATTTCTTTCATGCTGACTTGGTTGTTGTAGTGAGGAAATAAGAAAAAGCAAATTTAATTCCATGATTGGTCTAGTTGACCGTGAGCGTGTTGATGCGGCGTTATATGAGGATTATGAAACCGAGAAGGCTCGAGAGGTGTGTTTACTTTTATTTTGGTATATTGGTTGTTGACCTGTTGTCTTTGAAATATACTGGCCTGGATCTGACTCTGTATTTGGGTTTTGATAGTAAAATTGTTAATCTGTTATCGTAACAAATTTGAAATTATTATCTTGTTTCGTTCATATAAACACCATGATGTAGTTAAGTAGACTAAGGGTGAAAGGTTCTCTCTGGGTAGGATTCTGTTTCACGACATTCCTTACCATGCAGAAACGATTAGCAAAAGAGGCTCGTGCTCAGGAAATGCAAGCAAAGAATGCTGCCCTCGGAAAGAAGGTGAAAGAAACTGCAGCTCATAAGGTTTTCAAAGGTCGAGGGGAGGCTTCCTTTTATAGAGTTACATGTAAGGTGCGCGAGGTTTCTGCCTCAGGCCTTCCACTTTGACACTGTTAATATGCATTGTCTTTGCTTTTTAATTATGATCCAGCCAGCAGAACTGTTTTATCAGATTTTGAATCCATTGTGAAAGTATTTTCTCATTTTGTGGTTATCATCTCATTTCAGTAAGTGAACTGTAGACAGTCTCATTCTTGTTATTAATTGCAGGATAATGGAAAGGGAATGCCACATGATGACATACCAAATATGTTTGGCCGAGGTCTCTTGCTGCCTTAGCTATCTGTGAATCAACAGGTTTAGACATTTCAGTAATAATTTTTTGTCGGTGGGAACTAGAACCTCACCTGCTGTATGCTTATCTATTCATGCAGTTCTATCTGGGACAAAATATGGCTTGAAACAGACGCGGGGCAAGTTTGGTCTTGGTGCGAAGATGGTATTGATTGGCAACTTTTCAGTAGAAGTTGTATTATATTATTGTTTTACTTGGTCTTCAGCGTTTTTAATGGATGCAGGCATTAATATGGTCTAAAATGAGTACAGGGCTTCCTATTGAGATCTCTTCATCAATGAGGAACCAAAATTATATTTCATTTTGCAGGCTGGATATTGACATTCATAAGTATGACTTTATTTTTAAGTATCGTAAAGAATTGATATTTAAACTCCTTCCAAATAAACAAATGCCTCAATTTTTAGGAATATACCCCACATACATTTACATGAAAAACGGGAGAATAAGGAATACTGGCGGGGAGCTGAAATTCAAGTTGTCATAGAGGGGAACTGGACAACTTACCGTGTATGTAATACTTGTTTAATGAGATTTCAATAATTTTACTTCAAACTGTGGACATAATTGAGAAGTTCCATTAATATGAGCTCCTTTTTTTGTATTTGCAGTCAAAAATATTGCATTACATGAGACAAATGGCTGTCATCACCCCTTATGCACAATTTCTATTTAAATTTGTGTCAGATGCACCTGAGTATGTATATATGTTTTCAGATTCTACCCCCAAATCAACTATCAAAATCTTCTTATACAAGCTGTTCTCTTTGGCAGCAAGAATGTCTCTGTAAGATTTGCTCGCAGAACAGATGTAATGCCGCCAATTCCTATGGAGACAAAGCATCATCCATCTTCTGTTGATTTGCTGCTAATTAAACGACTTATTGCTGAAACATCAAAGCAAAACCTTTTGCAGTTTCTTCAGCATGAGTTTGTAAATATCAATAAATCTTATGCTGAAAGATTAATAGGTAAGGAAAAACAGTACTTTTGTTAATTTGTTGGATCTTTTTTCTTCTTATTGAGCAGTTATTAATGGAGGTCTTCTAAAGGATTATATTTTATGGTAGTTATGTACTCCAGTTAACTGTTTGGATTCAGCATTCTAACAAATAATGAAACTGGTATTTGGTTACGCAAAAGGAATGATAATAGTAAGCTAAGGTTCTCCAATTGACGATAGTCATTTATCCCCGATGGTAAAGCAATGTTATTTTGTAATAAGAGTAGAAAGAAGATATGCCTGGCTCACCTGGTTGATATTGAAATATGGGAATGATTAAATGTCTTTTTCCTTAGTTGTATACCCTTTTTCTTCAGAAATTAGCGAGGGGTTAAATTGCCTACTGCAACTCTGTTCTGTGTATAATTTTGTTGCTGAACTGCATAAAGAGATTCTCTTGGTTATCGTTGACATTATAGTATATTAGTAACAATTCATCTGGCCTGTGATTAGAGGAAGTATATCTTGACATGGCTCTATGTGCGTATGTTGTAGATACCCAATATGTTTTCTCTTTCACTCTTTACTCTCTTTTTTAGGAGAAATGGGTCCAGACTTCAGCGCAAAAATCCCTGTGAAGTCTCTAACCTCACAACAAATAGTACGCATTCATCAGTTGCTTCGTCAAGCCAAGTTTGACGATCCTAGTGGTCATGTAAGTAATAGAGTCTGTATTATGGGCCTCTTTTATTTATATTTCATCATTCATTTTTCCATTATTATTTATTATATTATATTCTGTACTTTTGTTAATTTATGGGTTCATATTACCTATTTTCAGTGTCTTAGTCCTGCTGGTGAATACAATCTTCGATTAGGAATTATAAAAGAGCTGCACCCGGACATGGTTGCAACTTATTCAGGCAGGTTGTGGTTTCAATTTATTACTTCTTGGAACTTCCTTGTCTCTTAATTTTCTATCCTTGATATAGATCATCTAGGGTATTTAGCTACTCTTTTTGTTGGAAGTTTTAAAGGGTATGGAGCACATGCTAGAGGTCCATAAGAGATTTTTTAGTGTTTGTTGTGTTTGAATTTTCTGGTAATTCGTAATGATTTAAAGCTAATTTCTTCTGCCATTATGCACAGTGCTCAAGTTTTTGAAGGCCACCCATTCATTGTGGAAGCTGGAGTCAGTGTAGGTGGAAAAGATGTCAAACAAGTTAAGTTTTGATACCAACAATAGTTGTGTTTGATAATAGTTTGAAATACATGTGTTAAAATTATCGTCTTATGTGAAAAAAATAGTTGGAGATAGAGTAAAATACAATAAATACAGTAATAAACATGGACAAAATATACAATAGAAAATAAATCTTTTGTTAGATATGCAGAAGGATTGGACTCACAGAGGTACTGTTTTCTTATATTCTTTTTCCTTGTTTTGGTGTTTGGGCATGTTTCTTGATCCTTCTGTGTTGTTTTATTTCTCTTATATTGTAATAAGTTATTTTTCTATAAAGAAAAAATACCTAATTTAAATTCCGAACATGCTTTCTGATGGATGGTGACAATATTCGCTGACCTCACCCCCACCACTTCTTATTGTACTGCATTGTGTTATTGTTTCATTGCCACCCACGGTCTTAAATTAGGCATGTTGTTCATTCTTGGTCAACTGGACAATGTTAGGAGCTAATTATGAAGAGATGTTTCACTCTGTTCTTAGAAAATGATAATGGTTTGTCAGTGACAGAACATATAATACTTGTTTCCAGGGTCTGAATATATTTCGATTTGCCAATAGAATTCCACTACTTTTTGAGCAAGGTGCCGATGTCGTAACCAGGACTGCCCATAAAAGAATCAAGTAAGCATGCACGTAAAAGCATGACCTATCTTGCCTTTCTAATTTTCATTTTGTTTGGATGAGGGAACAAAATGAGAATAAAAAGAAAGAAAAAAAATAGAAAATGAAGGTATAAATGATGTTGTTTAGATGAAGAGAAAAAAAAAAAAAAATAGTGAGAGGAAGAAAATATAATCATGTAATGAGGTGGCGAGGGTATAAATGCTGATGTTAGGAATTGGGAGTGAATATTTTTTCTAAATTCCGTGCTGCTCTAATATTTGTTAGGAAAATATAAATGATGTTGTTCCAAATGGTGTTTTATGATGAGGTGACAGAATAAGGGTCAATAATTGCTTTCCAAAATTCTCTGGCATCACAAGGCAACAATAGCCTATGAAATCCTGTTAAAATACTTTTTCAGCTGGAGTAGTTACAAAATCAACCAGATACAAGATAAGATTGGTGTCTTTGTAAGCATTGTGAGCACAAAAATTCCATTCAAAGGAACTGGGAAAGAATACATTGGAGATGACATAACCGAGATTGCTTCTGCTGTCAAGGTTTGAAGTTTTTAATTTGCAATTTTTCAATTTTTGCTATGTGAAATAAGCTAACATTTATTGTCCTCCAATCTTTAGTATGCTATTCAGCAGTGTTGTGTCCAATTAAAATCCAAGATTGTGAAAAAGATGCAGGCCCGAGAGCAGCTGGAGAGGAAACGAAATCTAAGCAGGTATGCCAAAGCTTTGTTTGTCTGTCTCATAATTCCAGCAATCAGCTGAATGATGATGCAATTTTTTTATGAAATAAAATACATCCTACCAATTGGCAGGTATATCCCCGATGCTTCTGGTGCAATATACAATGTTTTGAAAGAAATGACACAGTTACATGCAGCAAAGAAGATTCGTTATGGGGATGATGATGTAGAACTACTGAGAAATGTCTCTGAGAATTTGATTACGAAAGAAACATTGAGTGAAAAGCTTGCTAAACATGTTGAACAGGTATGCTATCTGGCTTTGTGAGTGTGAATATTTCTCAGTATTCCTCCTATTCATAAACTAAAGGGATACCTCGACCTTAATAAATGTGAGTGTCAGAGTTGCAATCAATTGATCCATGGGAACAACTCTTGTCATCTGAGCATGTCATCCTTGAGTTAAAATATAGATTTAGTTATAGTTGTAGCTAAAATAAGGGGTAGCATGAAGAACTACGAAATTGGCATCATAAACCAATAGTTTTTCTATTTTTTCTTAACCAACATAAACTGTTTCTCTTGATAAGGAAAATTTCTTTTCATTATGGATAGCTTTTCTTTGAGTTCATACCTTCAGCCAACACATCAAATGAAGCATGTAGGCAACACCCTCTAGGATTGTGTCCTATATCGATTGTGAAGTGCATACAATGAACAAAAGATTAAAAAAGGGTTAGGGGTGCTTGAATGTTGAATTTATTGCTCAAATTTTGTATATAATTGGAATATGCAGGTGGACTATGAAATGGCATTGGAGTATGCGACGCAGAGTGGAGTAAGCGAGGAACCCCGAGAAACAATATATATACAATCATTGGAAGATGAAAATAAGATGATCGACCTACAGGCTCCATTTATTATTTTCAGAGTCTTTCAGTAGGTTCCGAAAATTGATTTGATAATGAAAAGAAATGAAAGTGAAGATGATTTTTCCAAATTATATTTATATTCGTGGTACACGAAAGAACAATTGTTGTATCTATTCTTTTCATTTGTAACAAATGCCAATAAGATTGATAAGATAATGCAGTGAGTTCGTGTCTTTACACTGCAAGAATTTGAATACTTTTCAGGATATCTTAAATTATTATATTTTTGGTACATAACATTTTAGTTATAGAAACAAAATTATGTGTTTCATAGTGTAGAGAAAATTGTGGTATGGTAGGTCTCTTTTAAAATAACATTTTTTTCAATAATTAATTTATTTCATTGTAATCTAAACAGACCCTGCCTGACGCAATGAAGTCTTAAAAGTCAACATGTGTAAACGTTTAAGCAGTAAATCCATTTGTTCAATAAAATGTCACAAAAGGTTTTATATTATAATCAGTAAAAAAATACAATCGCTTTTTAAGATAGTTATTTAATAATCAATAAATTTACTACATGTAATTAGATGTATACTATCAATTTATTCGTAAAAAACATCGTTTGGCAAGTCTTTATTATAAGCAATTATTGCCGTTTCTTAATAAATAATTCTATAATGATGAGGACGATGAATACTTTAATTTTTATACATTATTAGTTTTAAAAAATTTGTAAGAAACTTTATACATGGTAAAATATTTGTGTAGTAGTTAAATCACAAAATATTATATACACATATATGGTAATTTTATTAAAAATAATAACATTATCTTAAAAACTATACTAATAATATTTTTTTTATATATAAATATACATTATTTTATATTTAAAATGCATAAAATTTTATACCTATATTTTTTTTATAAGATCTATTAAGTAAATTATCAGAAAAATTAGTTAATTTCATTTATAACTTTAAATGTATAATTTAAAATTATTTTTTCAAAATATATCTAACATCTTTAATCACTTAAAACTAATGTACTTCACCAGTTACTAATATAGAACTAATAGAAACACTTTAATTAAAAACATATAATTGAGAAAAAAAACATTTTAGTTTAACTTATGGCAAAAACAAAGTCTACTTTATCTCTTGGAAAAGAACCGAGATACAACAAAAAATAAATAAACTTAACATCAAACAATTTATTGAGTGAGAAATATAGTAAAAAATCTTCTACGTACACTGTTTATTGCCCCGAAGTTCCCTGCAAGGGGCACACAGCCACAACATTACAAAAACCAAACATGTAGTTGATATGCGCTCAAGAGTTGAAGCCACGCAGAAAGAGTGAGAAGAGAAAGAAAAGCAAGGTGAGATTTGATTCGAAACCGAATTGGTACAAACATTACATTGCAATTACATTTCATTCTATATACATAGTGAAATTTGCATGGTGTTTTTATTGTTTTGTAGTTATGACGACGAAGGTTCCTCAGATCGCCATTCTGGGAGCTGGAATCTTTGTGAAGACTCAGTACATTCCCAGACTCTCCGAGATCTCTCATCTCTTCCATCTCAAAGCCATTTGGAGCCGCACTCAGGTGCTACTCTTTCGTCCACTGCGATTGCACAACTTTCTTTCGCTCTTCTTCACTTCAATTCATTTTTCTGCGCAGGAATCTGCTACAGCGGCCGTAGAGGTAGCTGGTAAGCATTTTTCGGGAGTCGAGTGTAAATGGGGAGACAGCGGTCTTGAAGAGATCATCCAAGATGGATCCATAGATGCAGTTGCTGTCGTTTTGGCTGGACAAAATCAGGTCTCTTAATTGATAACACCTTATAAGGGCTTGTAAAACTTAGTCACCCTTTACTTTACAATACAAGCCAGGACGAATTAGTTTGCAAATCTAAAAGATGATATCCGAGTTTATTTTAGATCCATTTTTGAGGTATCTACTATATTATCCACGCCTTGAGCCCAATAGTGCTGGTGTGAGATGGTGTATTGAGAAAAATCTGTCTCCCATTGACTAGGCCTTCGATTCTAAAAGACAGATTGTCTGTCTATCAACTTCATTTGAAATTGGAAGGATTTTTGTACTTTAATTCTTCAGAATTTACAATTTCTTTTACAAACAATCGATTGTTGCAGGTTGACATTTCATTGAGGGTGCTAAAGGCTGGTAAACATGTTCTTCAAGGTGAGGATTTTTTTTAAATGTATGTGTGTAAATAGTTTGTGGGATATTGTCTTTCTTATGAGGGACAGATTAATTGCGTTGGTGGGGAGCTTGCCTGGCTACTTCACGTCTGCTAGTAGTAAATTGATGTTTGATACTCATTTATTTTGAAATATATCTTTAGTGCCACTGACTAAATTTTTGTTTGTTTGGTTATATTGTACGCGTTGGATGCCTAATTCGGTGGATATAAAGAGAAACCTGCTGCATCCTGTAAGTAGTGTTTTGTTAATAGCAATTGTATACCTTTATCTCCATGTAGATGAACATTTTTGGTGGTCTTTTCTTGATCCTCTTTTATTGTTATTGCATTATTATTCTTTTTATTTATTTAATTTCTTTTCTTCATACTGTGTATGCAAATCAATTTTGTTTGTTTCCTTTAAGTAAAAAAGAATGGACTAAGTCATAACATGTTCTAGGAAAAGTAGCCCTTATTTTATTCATCTTCACATTATCACATGTTATTTAGGACGCTCCTCCTGATATCCAGAAATCGAATGAAGGTACTAAAGAAGATTTTGGAGGTAAACACATGTTGAAAGTTAAAATTTTCAGAGCAATAATATTGAAATCAAACTGAAACCCTGCTGCATTTAGGAACTCCGGAGAACCTCCACACTTTCTAATGACCCATCTCACTTTTGTAATGAAAATCTGTTAGGGCTGAACGATATCAGTAATGACTTGGAAAATACCCTTCCCTCAATCACATTGATAATTTTATGAGATGTTCATTGTATAATTGTATATTCTATCCCTTTATAATTGCCAGTTACCTAATCATGCTGGTCTTATAAAATTTGCTGATCATATTGTTGTCATGCTTTGTAGAAACAATATTCTAATGTGTTTTCCTGAAATTTTAAACTCTTGGGCCCTGTTTGTTTGGGATGAAAATGGAGAGAAGAGGAATTGAATTTAGTAGTTTGATGGAGAGAATGAGAAATGTTGAAGAGGATAGACAAAAAAATTAAGAAAAGTAAAAGTTACTATTTTCCTCCTATATGTTTGAATTGTGTTGTAAGAGGTGAGGGGTATAATGGGTATTATATTATTCAAAATATTTATTTCCTATCAAATATATAAAATTGCACAATTTTCAAAATCTTTCTCTTCTTTCTCACTTATATGTACTCTACCAACAACTGAACATTCAATTTTACTTTTTTACTTGTTTCTCTTTTCTCAACTTTTTTCTTTATTTCCATTCCCTCTATTTCTCTCTTCAAAACCAATCAGGGCATTAGCATAACTATACATAAATATAATAATGCAGGTACAAGTGAATTAGAAACTGCATTGTCTAGCTACAAATCTATTTCTGCTGATGCTCCTGGTCAATTAATTTGGTCTGTGGCTGAAAATTACCGATTGGAGGCTGGTTTAGTCGAGGTATTTGTTTGTTTGATATCTTGACCTATGAATCCAACTGTACAGTCACATAAGTTTTTTGGCAGTGCAAGAAACTAATTGATGGCATTGGGAAAATGATGAGTGTCCAAGTTATAATCGAAGGATCAATGAACAGTTCAAACCCCTACTTTTCAAGCAATTGGAGGCGCAATTTCACTGTATGTGCTTTGTGATAAAGTTGTGCACTCTTTGTATATTTAAATCTAAAATAGCGTTTTTCATACAACCTATGCTTTGGATCACTTCAATGAACTACTATTCTAGCCTAAAAACTAAAAGAACTGCTATTTAATATAATAATTGAAGAATATACGAAATCTTAACACCACAAGCTTAGCGATAGTAATGAATAAGAATGAGGTTCAATTTTATTCCTCTCCCAAATTCAAGTTTGAATTCTTTATATGATTTTATATGTGGATTACTGAGACATTCTAATCCATTTTTAATAAGAATTTCTCTTTTTCCTGTATTTCCTTTTCTGTAGCTATACTTGATAGCTAAACTGTTGCAAATATTGACAAATCTGCAATAACTTATGATGTTATTAGTATATCAGTATGCCTATTTTATTATACTATTTGTTGTTTTTTTTGGTTCCTAAGTGAAGTTGTTTTTTCTTTTCTTTCTGGCAGGGAGGTTTCATTCTTGATATGGGTGTGCATTTCATTGCAGGGTTAAGAATGGTAATGTTGAACTTATGGTGTGCATTTCACTGATTAATTTATTTATTATCTCATGTCCTTCTGGTGTTTCCAATGCAATTATGGTGCCAATAACATCTGATCATTAGACTTTTCAAACTGATACTCTACCAAAACTTTGTTTTTAGTGTTTAATGCTCTGCTACCAAAATACACTCAGGTAATGAAAAGTTATTGGTTGCATGATTTAAATTTTTTTATGATATTGTATTTTGACTTGCTTATAAGTTATAGTAAAGTTGTTTGTGATTCTAAAAGTTGATGAAGTTTCCTTTCAACTTACTTCTCTATTAGAAATCCTAGAGAAGATAGGCTTGATTTATCTATAAAATGATGTTCTTAAACATTTTTTGGCAGCTTGTTGGGTGTGAGGTGGTTTCGGTTTCAGCCATGACATCTCATGTAGATTTGACCTTACCTCCCCCAGATAATATATCATCAGTCTTGTAAGCCTTTATTTCGTGGCGTTAACTTTACAATACATGACTGGAAATCCAAGATTAATTTTGGAATGTTTTGCCATAGTCATTTGGAGAATGGATGTTCAGGAGTGTTTGTAATGGTTGTCTCCTCCAGATCATCCAAGGCATGTGATCAACGATCGTTCTTTTTACAAATACATACATGCGCTACACATGCTAGGATGTAGATATGCTTACTATTCATGCATTTATTCTTGCAAGTCTTTACTTATGATATTTAATACATCATAGACCTTGTGGCGAGTTGTTGGCCTGAATGGAACCCTGCAAGTTGAACGTGGATTCCAAGGACAACATGGTTACCTGGTATGTACTGTAGTTTCTGTTACTAGTTTTCACAAATAATATGGCCTCATTTTTTAATGTCTTGTGATACTATGTAGGTTTCATTTTATGGTGCCGATGGACAAAACAAAAGCTCCTTTTTCCCATTCTGTGGAGTAACTGAAGAATTAAAAGCTTTCATTAATGACGTATCTGAAAACACCCTCAAGGTAATTTTGAGTACAAAATGATTCCTCCTTCTCATATGTGAACTCCAAAACAAGTTCCTCTCGTTGATTTATCATGTTACCTTTTATACCAATTGCTTTTCAAAGCATAACTGGAACTATAGATTCAGACAACTTCATGCACATATAATAAAAAAAATGAAGAATAATCTGAACAGGGTGCCGTTTTCTAGTCTAATTTATTTTCTTCTAGCAGAAGGGGAGTCAGTTTGTGGCTGAGCCCCGCCTCTCTTTTGTCGAGGGTGCAAGAGATGTTGCTGTGTTAGAGGCAATGCTTGAATCTGGAGCAAGGAAAGGTGAACTAGTTCAGGTGAAAAAGTTTTGAGGAAATCATGGAATCGCTTTACACTGGCTACCTAGTTAACGTCTATTGGATGTTTCCTCTGGATTGTTCTTGAACATTGAACTGAGCAAGGCAGTCAAGTATAGATGAATAAGCTTTTGTTTAAATAATAACCCTGATCAATGTAATAGATGAAGGTCTAGGATTTGTATAAATTTTTTGAAATTATTGCTGGTATGCTCTTTGAATCTGAAACTTCTAATAACATGAGGCTAAGTATTTGAAATACTGCAAATAGCCTCCATTTTTATGGAAACACCTTAGAACACTAAATAAGCCAGATCCATTATTTTAATATATCATGCACATATAAATACTGTGAGAAACTTGGTGCTCTCATATTTCGTTTAATTAACATGCTCTCAAGCACTTAAGAATTTCTTAAATTATGGAGCACTTTGTGGACTGGATCGGGGAACTTAGCTTATCTTTTAACTATGTAATGTACTATGAATTATTTAAATTTGGTTAAATATTAGAGTGTTGTGCGGTTCATTAACATATGCCAAATGCATTAGTTGTAACAGGAATTGGTACCCAGGAAGTTGCTCTTATTTACTACGCGTAGGAAATAGTACCCACTTATTCTGTAGAGTTTGTATATACTGTCATATTCAACAGACTGAGAAAATATTTCTTTCAGAAATTTCTCTTATAAACTATTCTCAAGCAATTCGATCCTAATTCTTTCGCTCTAAATTCAACAAGATCATTAAAGTAATATTACATAATTCAGTGGAATGATTAATAAAAGTTAATTATAACACATACAATAAATTTAAATGATGAAATCTTATGTAGTGTTTTCTTTCCAACTCTCTTGAGAATTTTCTGACAGGAAGCCAAACCAAACATTGTCTACCAAATTCTTAAAAAATAAGTTAATTATTATAGAATGAAAAAAAAAATAGAAAAATTAAACTCTTGGTGGAAAAAAAATAAACTTGCTTCTCTTCCCCTGCTTCCTGTTCTCTTGTCCTGCTTGCTTCTCTCTTCTTCCCTTAAACTTTTACCCAAGTCATCACTTTCAAGTTAAAAGAAATGAAAATTGTCAAAATAACTATTATTATTAACTTAAAGTAATTTCCAAGTGAAAAAACTGAATCATATTCACCTTGTCTCTTATATTTTTAATATCATAATGCGTAGTAAAATAAAGTGATGTGTTAAAGGATCAATTGGTTTTTAATTTATGTGAACCTTTATAAATTGAATTTACACCATGAGAAACTTTAATGCAATGGTTGAATTAATAAATTTAGCTTCCATAATTTTTTTTTAATTTGGTACCTAATATTAAGTGTATGCATAAGGTCTAAATGAAACTCCGTTTCTAGAATATTTAACTTCTATGAAATTACACACACACACACACATATATATATATATATATATATATATATATATATATATATAAACTCTATCCATTTCATAAGAACTTTTAACTTAATTGTTCATTTTATAAAATTTAACTTCTATAAAGTTATTGAACTTATGTTTTACACCTGATGTTATTTGATCAATCTGTTGAGGAGAAATTATATTTTAATGTTTGTTTAACTGAAAATTAATGTTATAATAACCAACATATTTATAAAATTTGACATTGATATTACATTATTTAATGTTATTGAAATATGTCATAACCAATTCGTAGATATACTTTGGAAATGTATACAAACTAAAATCCTATGATTATCATTAACGCCAAATTTTATAGGATTTAAGACAAATTCATATTTTGAAATGAACAAAAATTTAAATAATTTGGTTATTAATTTATTAAAACCAAAATTTTATAGGATTTAAGACAAATATTGTATTTTAATAAATTACAATGTGATTTCATAAGATTTTCATCTTACGCTTTCATGTGTAATGTGTTTAAAATTTAAAGAAAAATGTGTATAATGTTTAAATTTAAAATATAAAAGACAACTATGTGTGTGTGGGAAGTATATATATGTGTAATAAATTTTTAAAATGAGTGAAAGAGAAATTTTGACTTTTATTTTTAGAATAAGAAAGAAGTTATTAACATAATGATGAATTCTGAGAAAACTGAATGATGCAAATGTTGGTGTGTGGTGGAATAATGATTAAGGTCTCTCTGTCTCCTTTTGGGGATCATTGTTTCTTCAAACGCATTTAATGAAAACTTGTAAATCATAATTCTGGATCTCCACGTTATTCATAAAATGAACATTTCTTACGCAATTTTTTTCATAATAAGTAAAAGATAGGGGTTTGGGTTAGACCCTGTTTGGTTCACCAAACGCAGAAATATTAGAAAGGAGGAAATGACTTCCAAACCAAACGCACAATTCATAAGTCATAAGTGGAAATGGTCAAGCCATGCTTTGAAAGACTTTTATGAAATTTACATGGGTTTATAAAAATAATATTTTACAAGTTTTTTATATTTGATTTTAATATATTTTTTAAATAAACTACTTATTATATTATGTCCTTTTCTTTTTTATTAAATATTTCAACAAGTTTTTTTTTATTAAAGTTTAATATCTAATTTTTTTTCCTTTTTTTAATGTAATCCAAAATTCTAGACGAATGTCTCACATGTGACTCTGGGATTATTATATAAATTTAGAAGTATATATTTAATGAATTTTATAATAACGAGAAGGTGCATCTTCCTATCCCAAATTGTTTTTTGTCTAAATTTTGGATTAATATAATTTTGATTTTTTATTTTTTAATTATCGTATGTGTGTTGATTCTTGAATTCATTCTATTTATATAATATTTTATGATATATTTTTCATCATGCTAATGATTTCATTCCATTTTGTCTCCTTCTTGTAAAGAAAAATGTGTAAAATCTCTCCTAGACAAAAGGAAGAGACAGAAAGTTGCAGAAGGTTGTTGCTGATGTATAGCACCGTTTTATGTTTGAGCATTGTAGAGACTCAGTTTGAACCGATCACACGTTTCTGTTTTTTTGTTTCATTTAGATTTCACAGATTCATTACATAGTTCCTTTTGTTTTTGGTTGCTTCGAGAAACTAGAAAGATAGCAGCAGTGACGCTTGATGTCAGTGCTTTACTTCTATATATGTTGCGTGTGCATGAACTTCAAAGAACACAAATGTTTGGTTTGAGTGGTTGTAGTAGTTGAAGAAACACCACTGATGCACAAAACCTGCTCCATGAAAAATAAGTAATCCATAAAAAAAAAAAAGTAAAAGTGCAAAACGTTCAACTTTTGCCTTTCCTTATTCCATGTTGTTTATTTCGATGAAACGTTCTTTTGAGCAAATTGAGAATCTGTGTACGGTAGAAACAACCGGGTTCTGAATTTAATGGTTCTTTAAACACAGCAGGTTATTGTTGATTTTTTATTTTTTTTTCTAAGGTTCAATCTTTGTAAACATTTAGCTTAGCTTTCTTCATGTGAAGTGTTTTCCTTACATTGGTGCAGGTTAATTGGTTAGTGTGGTATCTAAGAGAGGAAAATGCATAAGCTAGAAGGGCCACCAGAGTTTGCTCTCAAGGAGACCTCCCCTAACATAGGGGCAGGTGCAATCATGAGGGACAAGCTCTCCTGCACCTATGACCTGGTTGAACAGATGCAGTACCTTTATGTGCGAGTGGTGAAAGCCAAGGATTTACAAGGGAAAGATGTTACTGGTAGTGTGGATCCCTTTGTTGAAGTGAAACTTGGAAACTACAAGGGCCTTACCAAGCACTTTGAGAAAAAGTCCAATCCTCAGTGGAATCAAGTTTTTGCCTTTTCCAAAGAAAGGATCCAAGCTTCTGTTCTGGAGGTGGTGGTGAAAGATAAAGCTGTTGTTTCGGATGACTTTGTAGGGAGAGTGATGTTTGATCTTAATGAAATCCCAAAACGTGTGCCACCAGATAGCCCTTTGGCTCCGCAGTGGTACAGGCTGGAAGATAGGAGAGGTGACAAAGCCAAGGGAGAGCTGATGTTGGCAGTTTGGATGGGAACTCAAGCAGATGAGGCATTTCCTGATGCATGGCATTCTGATGCAGCAACTGTTGGTCCTGAGGCTGTTGCAAATATAAGATCAAAGGTTTACCTTTCACCTAAGCTTTGGTATGTCAGGGTCAATGTTATTGAGGCTCAGGACTTGATACCAAGTGACAAAACCCGGTATCCTGAAGTTCTGGTGAAGGCTAATCTGGGGAGTCAGTTTTTAAGAACTAGAGTATCTCAAAGTAAAACCATAAATCCCGTGTGGAATGAGGACTTGATGTTTGTTGCTGCTGAGCCATTTGAGGAGCCCTTGGTTCTGACTGCAGAAGACAGGGTTGGACCAAACAAGGATGAAATCATGGGAAGGTGTGTCATTCCTTTACACAATGTGCAGAGGAGGTTAGACCATAAGCCTGTGAACACAAAGTGGTTTAATCTTGAAAAACATGTGGTTGTTGAAGGGGAAAAGAAGAAAGACACCAAGTTCTCAAGTAGGATACACTTGAGGGTTTGCTTGGAAGGTGGCTACCATGTGCTGGATGAATCCACTCACTACAGTAGTGATCTTAGGCCAACTGCGAAGCAGCTATGGAAGGCTAGCATAGGAATTCTGGAGATGGGGATTATAAGTGCACAAGGGCTGATGCCAATGAAGACAAGAGATGGTAGAGGAACCACAGATGCCTATTGTGTAGCTAAATATGGGCAGAAATGGATCCGTACTAGGACAATTGTAAATAGCCTTGCTCCAAGGTGGAATGAGCAATACATTTGGGAGGTTTTTGATCCATGTACTGTTATCACAGTAGGGGTTTATGATAATGGCCATTTACATGGGGGAGACAAATCAGGTGGATCAAAGGATTCAAGAATAGGGAAGGTGAGAATTAGGCTATCCACTCTTGAAGCTGATAGGGTGTACACACACTCTTATCCTCTTTTAGTACTGCATAATTCAGGTGTGAAGAAAATGGGAGAAGTGCAATTGGCTGTAAGGTTCACCAGCTTATCTTTGATAAACATGTTG